CACAAGACAAGATCAATTGCTAGTCTAATTGAAATTGCTTTGAAGTGTAAGCAGGTATATATAGCTGCAGTGATAGGAGTATCTCCAATGAAAGAGAACTACCTTCTATTTGAAGCTAACTAGTGAAGTGGATAACCAAGAAAACAAGAACTCACCTTTGGAATGCTATTCAGATCCCCGCCCATAATTACAGGTATGTTTCCCCATCTTTGGGAGAGGCTGTGAGCTTTTTCAAGAAACAGTCTGACCTATACCACATATTATGTAACAAAATTAATGTACTGAGACGCTTATCATTTTTCTTAAATGACAACTTAAATAGAAGATAAAGAGTATTTTAAGTCCACTTAACCATACGGAGAAAAATAGGATATCAAAAAGATAGGCCAGAGAATACAACTAATCCTAAACTACATGCATGACAATTCGAACACAAACATTGAACAAACATCATATAAAATAAGAGGAACCGTGCTACAGAAATTAGAAATATTCAACAATCACAACAGTAGGTACCTGCCCAAGCTTGATGTCTCCACGATTTGGGTTGAAAAGAACATGTATATTCCCAATCAAAAAGGTTCGACTTTGGTTAATGAACACATGCATATAATTCAGAGAAAGAACAAGAAGTGAGACTATAATAATACAACTGCAACAACTATTATCAATATTATTTTATTTCTAAACAGGACTACATGCAGAGACAGTGAAAATAACCTCCCTTGTATTTAAGATAATACATCTCGAAATACTTTTTTATGTCAAATGAAAAGGAATGGTAACCCCATGTAACTCTTTACTATATTCATGAAAATCATTTCTCATTTTAGAAAAATTGGTCAAAAAAGAAATTTGGAATTATATCATACAAGTTATTAACAAATTTACAGAAATTTAGAACCTACCTTTTTTTGAGCTTTGATTCTGATTGATTCATCTGTACAGTTTGAGTAAGAAAAAAAATGTAAAACGTTCTTAAAAACTGAAGATTGACAAGAAATCATTAATTTGGAGCACATGAAATTTTCATTATCAGGAAAACATGTAATGTAGATTATACATAAATAGAAAATAAAAGGTTAAAAGGCAGCAATAATGTTTCATAACAGTTTCATTAAAGGTGAAGGTAGCAGTAAATTAACGGAGCTTCGAACCACAGTTAAATAATATGTAAATGATGGCAATTTTGTACACAGTTAACTGGAAGAAGACATGAAAACAACTGAAGCTATTCGGTTAACATGGTAACTTCCTTAAAAAAATAACATAAAGGTACCAGAATGCCATTAATGAATTCTTTTATACCTTCAAAACACATAGCTGAGCAACATTGTTACGTAGCCCAAAACTCTGAAACTCTATAGTTTCTTGATGCAAAAGGGTAAATCTGTAACAAGAAGATTGTCCACCGTAAATGGTGATATGAGATGACCAATTTAGCAAATGTGAAAAATACATATTCAAGTAAACAAAGAAATGCCTGTAAACGTGCTGCATACACTATATATGGAGAATCAAAGATATTAAGAGGGTCAGCCTAACAACCAACAAGAATCTAAACATCCAAAATTCTTATAATAGGAAAGCTTCTCAAGTCTGACATTACAAGCCCAAGTGAAATCGCTCATGCATATCAACAGAGTTATAAGGTATTGGGTCATTTTTCAAAAAGTTCAGGAGCTCACTCATCGATTCTATGATCTTATACATCAACTAGTACAATTTAAAGATATCAGGAAGGATGAGAGACCTTACAATTTGTCGATCCAAAATACAGCACACCCGTCATTTGCTTCACCAGTTCTAGCCTATAAAGGATTGACACTAAGTTTCCAGGGTGTCGTACAAATAATGCATATGTAAATTAAATGGCTGCTAACTTAACACAAAATATCTTAACACACCTTGTAAACACCTTTGTAGCCGTACTTTTGAAAAAGTTCATCTAAATCATTAAAACGGTCAACCTCCTGCAGATGTACAGTTCCATTTTCATAAGTAAAAATTTATTCCTAGCATCTATGAAATATTATGGTTAAAAGAGATTTAAAAGACAAGGAAGCTTCAAGGGACAATGAAATGACAATATAATTTAGTAACTACGAGAATAATATTGGGGACACTAGGTGTCCACCCTAAACCAGCAGCATGAAGCATCCTAATTTCTCATGTCTTCTATTTGATGCATTAAGTATTGCCTCTAAATTGGTAAGCAAATTTAGGCTGTTTTAACTTATGATTTATGACTTTGGAGCACCAGAAAACCTTGTCTGAATCTAAAAGGCCTTTAATCGAATAGGTCATTAGCTTGCCAAGTCTCCGAACTTTTGTGAAGATATAATTGTGCCCTTAGAACAAAATTAAGGAACACGTGAGAAGAATGGAAAATGAGGGTTAACCTGTTTTATAAGAAGGATTTTTAAAAATAAATAAACCCATAATTTGCCCACCAAAATTTTCCACAATACTGACTTCATCTTGTATCTCGAAATGCTACAAATAAAGGCTATTGCAGGTTCAAAAAGTTACCTGCAAGCATAAGATGCCTGCATTGTAAAATTTAATTGCGTTGCATATAAGCTCTTTCCGGAAACTCCAATTCAAGAATTTGGAAGGCACTCTATGATACAAATCTGGATGCTTCGATGCATTTTCCACTCCTAGTATGTTATATGAAGCAACCATAATCTTATCTGAAATAAAGACAATAAACTGTTAAGTATGCAAAGGCAATAACCACACAGATGGAAATACCACTTACTCCACATCCTATTTGCCAACATGAGTAGTCCTATGAACTAAAGAAAGGAAGCAGATTCTAAACTATTAATGACTTATAAGTTCCTTTAAATCTGGGGTGATCAAAACAAATGCCAAACTAATTGTATTATTTGGACCACCCTAATTCTTCCCATCAGGTATTCTCAAATCCCACTTTACTATTATCGATAAATTAATCACGGAAGGACAAAATTGCGGAAAATTTTCAGAGCAGTGATTAGAACTGGTTACCTATAAATTTTGAGCAATCACGAGCAGAGTACACCCATCTACGATTGCCATCCCTCTGACTCGACCTCCTCTTCTCGTGCTTTCGAGAGGGAGAACGAATCGGTTCGAACCTATTCGACGCGGCAAGTATTGGAGGCTCGCTGGATGTTCGGATTACGATTTCTGAACTGAGCGTTGATCTCCGCCTCTTCTTCCGGTGATCATTGCGAGCGCGGTGAGCCTTATTCGCCGAGGGTTTACGCTTATTCGTTGATTTGGCGCGAATGTCCATGAGAGACGGTTCGTCGCGGTTTCCTTCGACCATCGTCCGATGTAAGAGGCGGTCACTAAGGTCACGCGCCGATTTAATTGACGCCTTGGTCCCTCCCCTTTTCCTTTTACTTAAGAAATTCACACTGTTAATTGAGGTCCAAAATACGATTTCGTTTTAATTTGTTTTTAACGATTAGGAGTTTTTTTTTTCTCTTTACCTTTTTATAAAATATATTTTAATTTTTAGTCCAATTAAAAAAAACGTTTCTTGATTTTTTTTTTCAAAATTTAATTTAGATTTTGAAAACATTTTTAAAAAAATTATAACAAGACAAAAAAATACGGACGTGGAAACAAGGCGGTCGTAAGCTTAATTTTCAAAAACATAAAATCAAAAGCAAAAAGTTATTAGATCTCAAAAAAATAAAAAAATCTCAATTGTTTCAAATTTTCTTTTCTCTAAAATGACAAATGGGAGTCTAAATTAGTAGATTCGAGTACAATTCAACTAATTAAAACATAAATTATATTGGAATTTGTCAAAAAGTACAGACAAAGTTGTGCATCGATTAAGGAAAGATAATCCATGGTACATAAATAAGAATAATTATCTTAATTGGTATTAGACTTTTTAGGTGAAACAAAAACAAAGTCTTGAAGGTCATCTTAAAACGGATAATAACATACAATTGTTAATATATTTAAGGGATACTCATCCCCATCAAAGTAGCAGTTAAAATAAAAATTAGTAAAAAAAAAAAACAATTGACATATTACTATGGTTACAATGTTAATGTAAAATTGAAGTAACAAATGAAGATTTGACATGATGTATGCCAATTCTATCCAGGACGGGTGAGAGGCCATAATAATAATAATAATAATAATAATAATAATAGGACCTATAAGTATAAATCAAAATTTATATATACTTGCAAGTGAATATTTATATTATAGCTATACTCTCTCATATCAGATCATCATTTGTAAATCTAATTAAGTGTGTAATATTAAACAAGTTTGATATTTTCCATATTTTCTTTTATAAAACACGTTTCACTTCTCAGTCAAATTCTAAACATAGAAACAATAAAAATAATTAATCTTAATTTTTGCTTAGATTTTGTAAATGTTTTCTTAGAAAGGGGAAGAGAATTTATTTTGTTTATGAAATTGGTTATAATCTTGCACTGTCCAGAACTAGGTGACTTATCCCTTCTCAAATCATGTGACTTGCAAAACAAAGGTGATTGTTTGACATGACAAAGGTGATTGTTCTCATAGGTGCTCGATGCTAAATCGGTTTGGTAAGGAAGGTTGAGATTCTCTCTTCTAATTTTGGCGATGACTAATCTGACGGTGCATGCTGATTACGCTCTGTCAATTCCACCTTAAACCCGTGTTGATGGCAATAACGACGGGATGGGACCTACTTAACTCGCACTCGACGTCACCATATTGCATACCTCTAAGGTGTTCGACATGTGGTGGCTCAGTTTTCCCTTGTAACAATATTTGATTTTGTTTTTCTTTTCACCATCATTCAAGTTCTTTCACTGAAAATCATCAGTGTCAGTGCAAGAATAACTAAATTTACCTTGAATGAAAGTATATTTTGTTGTTATTATAATGGATAGTATTCATCTTTTAAGGTACCGTCACTATAAAATCAATTTGCTGTAAGAAGTTGGGCCTTATTTGACAGTTTAATTGACAACTATAGAAGAAATGTTAAGGTTTAATTTCTGGGATAAGATGAAATTTAGATCTTATCCACTAAAAATATGTCATCTTGAGTTGACATAATTTTTATGAATAGATCACTATGTTTACAAGTAAATCTGAAATAAATATTAATTGAGAGTATAATTTTGAAGTCTTTGATAAATTTCTTATTCTCATATTTTAAGCCAATGATTAGATACTCTTTGTTAAACTTAAACTGAGTATATTTTTAAGCATAAAACTCTTTCTAAATTGGAAAAATGTAAAAATTTACCTAACTCGGAACTTTCTCATTTTGGTTTGTAAATGTGTCACTTTTGTGCATTAAATGCTTTTTTAGCCAAAAAAAAAAAATCTAGCTCTTGCTCTCTCTAAAAAAACAGTGCTATTAATGTTTATCACGAATGTGCACCAATGTATTAAAATCATTACTTAAACCTAGAAAAGTGCTGATTTTCATGAGTTCAACCGTTATGAGAGTAGGGATTGGATTGAATCAATTAATCTTAGAGAGGATAATATGAATCTTATTATTTGACTTTATCGTATTAAAGAGAGCATAGCTCTATAGTAATTGACATATATCTCAAATCAAGAGGTTATGAGTTCGATCCTCCAATACTACAAATTATACTAAAAAAAAATATTTACATGAATGATGAGTTTCACTATTTTTCTAAGAATAAGGTACTTTTTAAGTCGTATTTAAGAACCGTAAATCTATTTTCTCCTCCTCTAATTAACAATCTTACACTAAGCTGGAATGAAGTTAGAAATTTTCATCATGAGATGTAAAAATGTACCTTCTAACTTTTGAGACTCTGAAAATTTAAAGGAGAGAAACTAAGTCGAACTCCCCAATTCCTTTCTTTACTCCCACCTCACATACGATAGAGCAAAGTTACGTTTCTCAAAACATTCATCTAGAAAAAAAAAAGGAATGAACTTTTCAGGAGATCCAAAAAGGTATGAAAAACGTCGACCAGTAGTGTAATTTATGGTAGGTAGCTAATTTATTGATCTGGGTGTATATTTGAATGGCTTGGATTGATTTGGGGATCAAAAACCTTCAAACAGAAGAAATTAAAACTGTGAATATCAATCATTTCTTTCTAAAAGTGTCACAGCAGCCACAATCACACATATACATTCTTCCACCAGCCATTTTTTTGAGGGAGAAAAATAAATATTGAAGCTCCACCACAGGGGATCCTCCACTGTGGGACCAGACCAGACCAGACCAACACTTAATTTTCAGCTACTGAATTATTGATCTCCTTTCCTTTGCTTAAAAAGTTCAAAAAGGAAAAGAAAAAAAAAACAACACAAAAAACAACTTATGGTGTCTTTCTCAGATTCACAAACAAGCAACCAGAGAGACGACAGAGAAATTTGTGTTTGTTAATGCATGGAATCCCAACAATAGACACCCCACCAATCAGATTTCAGGGAATGGGATGGAGTTGTAAACTTCAGCCAATCAACGTTCAGAGACACCAATTTTGTGGGTCATAAAAAGTGCAACAGGGCCTCGTGAGTCGTGACCATCATCTCCTACTCAAACTTCTCTATTTAAAAAGTTTCAATTTTTGCTGTTATACAGATAGTATACAGCTATTCAATGGAATACATAACACTTTTTTACTTAGTATTAATATTAATTAGTAAGAAATATATTCTATTTACCACTATTATATTTTTAGAGAAAAATGTATAAAATAATAAAGAAGATACTTTTTTTTATAATAGGCACATAGTTAACTTTTCAATGCAATGAATAGGAATATTCCTAATCCTGCATCTTTTTTTTTTTTTTTAATATAACGTGTGGAGTGGGTGATCGAATTCACTATCTTTTAACTGACTCATGATCAACTTTAACTGACCATATAAAAAAATATTGGTACTACAATAGAACGATTTAATAAATTCTTAATAGGTTGGAAATATATATCAATTATCGTTGAAGTATGTTCGTTTTGGCTAATACATACTTACTACTTGACTAATTAGTATCTAAATATGTATATTTTTGAAGCAGTAGATAAACTATGTAATGTTTTACAAAATATCATGCAACATGGGATAATTAAATTAAATTTTTTTAAGGACCAAATTACAACATGTATATTTAAGGTTGAATTAAAAATTTGCTAACATGAATATAATTCAACAGTAATTAGCATGACCTCTTTCGTTATAAACTACAACTTTGTGAAGATCAAATTTGTAAATTAAACTAAAACTTTGAGCTGATGGGTGAGTCATCAGCTATCTCACTCATTCCGACCGACCTCCATCACAGACCCTACACACAAATAATTGCGAAACCCCACTTGCAATTTTCCATTTCAGTTCTTTGGGCTGTCCCCCGTCTTTGAAATACAAACTCTCGACGCTCCCCTCATTCCAGAGAAGCCAAAACCAGTCTCCATGATGCTGCTGCGGAGCGAGAAGCAATCGGCGGCGGCGGGAGGGCGGGCGGCGCGTGTATGCGACAGCTGCATGTCCAAAAGGGCGCGTTGGTTTTGCGCTGCCGACGACGCCTTCCTCTGCCAGTCCTGCGACGTGTCGGTCCACTCAGCCAATCAGCTGGCCAGACGACACGACCGGATCCGCCTAGAAACGGCGYCGTTCAAGTCGCAATCCCAGCTCCCTCCATGGCCCAAAGGCTTCACTCGCAAGGCCAGAACTCCGCGACCCACCAAACAAAAAGCCTCCGTTTTTTCTCTCGTCCCGGAGATTGGAAACGACGACGACGGATTATTGCTGGATTTTAACGAAGAAGAAAACCCCCAATTTGTTCATCATCATCATCAGGTTCCCGTATTTGACCCCTTGATTGAGGAGGAGAATTTTTTGCTAACCGAGGAATTGGAGGATTTTGGAGATGGGTTTCTGCCGTCGGAGGTGGATCTTGCGGAATTTGTAGCGGATGTGGAGAATTTACTCGAAACACAGCAAGAGGAACAAGAAAGGCTACTACGCAAAGTTAAAGATGAAGAGCAAGAGGAAAATGGTGTCAAAATTAATGGATTTTTGGGTTGGAATTTTAAAGGGGAGGAAGTTGAGGAGGATCAAGAGAATAAGATGGTGCCAATGGTGGAAGATGAAGAGGAATTATTGAAGAAAATTAAGAAGAAGAAGAAGAAGAAGAAGACGAACATATTTTTGAGGCTAAATTATGATGCGGTTATTATGGCTTGGGATGCACAATCTTCTCCATACACCACTGGAAATCGGCCTGAATTCGATCTCGATGAATGCTGGGTATAAATTCTATCATTTTTTTTTTCCTTTTAAAAGTATTTTCTTGATTATAATTTTGTTGGTAAATTCGCTATATGGTGTGATCATTGATCATGAAGTTTAACATTTTGTAAAAATGTATTAGATGGGAAGGAAAAAGTTTTGTAATTAATATTTCATGGGAAGTCTTTTCAAGTCTCAGAATTGGAAGAAAACAAAAGAACTTCTGACAATAGGGCAACCTTTTTGTTATATAGTACTACCATAYACAAAAATTATAATTCTTTTTAGTTCTCTTTTAAATCGCTTTGATTATATGGTCTTCTCCATTTTTTGCTAACCCACCTTCTCAAACTTGATTAAATTTCATAAAATAGAAGTTTATAGACAAATTAAAACAATGGTTATCTGTTAATATATATATATAGTGCAATAGAAATTTTGATACCATCTATTCAACCTGTAATTGAAAGGGTAAGTTGATAGATAACAACAATAAATTTAAGAGATAAAAGAGATACAGATAGTATAAAATAAATACGTATTTTTAAAATATAATAATTCACCTTAGGGTTAAATTGGTAATCAAAGTACGAATGGTTCACCTATTTGATCCCATTTGAAATGAGAGTAGTAGTTAGGTATATTATTAAATATATGTTAGGTTTAGGTTTTTTAGTTTGAAGTGGGATTCTCTCAACATGCTCAATGATGACTTTTTTTTTAGTAATCTTGAATTCATTATATTTTTATTCATTTAAATTTGTTAAACTAAGATACCATATGAATATTTACGTAGGAGCTAATTAGTAGAAGGAGGTAGACTATGTATATTACAAACCTCTGTTGAGGAGGACGTTTTTTAAAAGTTATATATTAAATTTATGCTATGGAGTGAAATTTCGATAAATTTTCAACAGCTAGGATGGAGCTGGGCCGGAGCGTCCGGAGGAAGAGGAGAATGGAAAGCCGACGGGGAAAGAGAAGCAAGAGTTTCGAGATACAGAGAAAAGCGAAGAACAAGGCTGTTTTCGAAGAAAATAAGGTACCAGGTAAGGAAACTGAACGCAGAGAAGAGACCAAGAATGAAAGGTAGATTTGTGAAGAGAACAGCGCCGCCATTGATAATGTCATCAACTTCAAACCACATTAATTTTCCTTAATTTCTCCTACCCATAATTAGTGGTCGTTTTTGCCCTTCTGCTTCGTTTTTTTTTTGGTTTCCCTGCAAAATTAAAGTCAAGGACAGAGATGGAAAAAGTTCCTCTATTTTTCTCTCTCTAATGGGCAGTGCAGTTGAGGGGAGAGGAGTGAGGAGTGACAATATTAACGTACTCCTCTTTTATGAATTATGATTCTGCAGGTATCAGCTTTTGGATGGTGTACTGTCACTGTGTCTGATTCTGTATTTATATAACATGAATTTATTGTAAAAGAAAAAGTTAATAATATAATATATTTGATAATTAATTTTTGTCTGTGTGCCAAAAAAATTTATTACGTCACGGAGGGAAGTAATGGTAGACGCGGAAACGATACAATGTCGGCTTGAGTATTGGCTATAGTTCAGGAATAATTATTAACAACGTATATTATGATTCAAAAAGACTCAAGGTTGGAACTCTACCCGAACAAGTGTTGAAGTATGAAATGAATTGGTATTTGGTAAATGTTAGTTTTAAAGATGAAAAAATAGGTTACAAGTATTTGATAAATGAATATTAAATTGTTGTAATGTTAGAAGTATATGTGATTACGTTTGCTTTGGCTTATTTTGCGTTGATATTTAATTATAATATGATTATTTAAAATTTTATATGATTTAAACTATAAATTCTGATATGTTTATTTAAGATTATTTGATAATTGTTTTTTTAATCATGTCGAAAAAATATTTTTTAAAAATTAAACAGTAAGGTATATAAAAAAATATTGAATTAAATGAGAGGGTAGAAGCAACAAATATATTATTTTATTTTTTAAAAATTGATGAGTATTAATAAACTAAAAAATTTCAAAAGTTTGAAAGTAAATAGGCCACACTCCATAATTTTCAAAAGTTGGTCTTAACCAAATCTTGTAAATCAAAATGATTATGTTTAAATTAATAAAGAATCAAATTTACCAAACACTAAAATCAGTTAAAATTGTTTCACTCATTTTAAAGCCTTCAAAATCAAACAGAATCTTAATTTGCCTATGTAATTATGTTGATACTTCAGAATCTTGTAATACAAATATTTGAAATTCATAATTATTTTTTTAACACATGTGAAGGTAGAAATTCCGTTCATTTCCTTTCGTACATTCATGATATTGCTTCCACGCACTACTGCCGTCAAGAATCCGGCCTCGAACAAACTTACTACTTTTTGGTTGGAGATATAAATTCTTGATTGAAATTAAAAATAATTAACAGAAAATTAAAGTGAGAAACAAATTAATTATTTCTCGAATTAAGATATTAAAATATTGATTCTAAAAGTTTAGGGACCAAGAGAAATGAAGTAAAGTTTTTAGCTTAAATTCCATTTTGATACCGAAAGTTAGGAGGGAAATAGGAGGGAAATAGTATCGTAGCATGCATTTATATAAATTAAAAAATTACCATCCAGCACTTAAAACAAATACTTTTTAGAGGAAAATCAAATAGTAAAGGAGATAAAACTAATTAAGAAATAGATAAAAACTTAAATAACAGAAAGAATAATGGCTTAGAGAAGAAAATAAAACTAATTAAGAATTAAATAAATAAAATTTAAAACTTAAATAACAGAAAGAATGATGGCTTAGAGAAGAAAAGAAAACTAATTAAGAATTAAATAAATAAAACTTAAAACTTAAATAACAGAAAGAATAAGGCGTAAAAAATAAGAACAATAGCGTCAGAAAATGAAGGAAAAAAAAGCGCTAGAAGGAGGGCTTGAACCTCCGACCTTGTGGTTAAGGGCCACACGCTCTAACCAACTGAGCTATTCCAGCTTACAAGTCCATGTGGAGATAAAATTTTATAAATCTAAAATATTATAAAAACTGAAAAATGTTAATAGCACTAGAGGGAGCGCTTCAACCTCAAGCCTTGTTGGTTAACAGCCACACGCTCTAACCAACTGGAACTATTCCAGCATTGACGGTACCTGATTCAATGTAAATATAAATTCTAAATATTAGCATAAAAGTGAAAATAATATTATTTTGTGAGTTCCTATGAAAGTAGATATTCGAAACTTATTCAATTTAGAATAATATGCTAGTTTTTTTTGAGTTATGATCGTAAGATCTAAGTTTTTATTTTATATTGAAGAAATTTTAATTACATTTATTTATTCTAATGATTTTTTTTAGTACATTCTAATGATTTGTTTGATATGGTTAATTGTTTTATCATCAAATTAAATCAATATATATATATATATATATATATATATATATATATATATATATATATATATATATATATATATATAT